AAAAATTGAATATTAAACTTTTAAAATTATTGAATAGTATAAACTTCTTGATATTTACTGAAATAGTAAGGAATTTAAGCCCTAGAACCGATTAATGTATTGGTGGACTGATGCTAAAGCTGGTTGCCCGGCCAGTGCAAGCGAAAACATGTTGAGGTCGGTTCATAAGAAATTCGTTAACCGAATTTTTGTTCGTTAACCGAATTGAAGATCCTTATGGAAGGCAGTTCGTTAACCGAAATTTTGTTAACCGAGGCGTTCGTTAAACGAGGGGTCACTGTATGTTCAATAATTGTTAAAATTACTAAAAAATTTAATATTAAACTTTTAAAATTATTGAATAGTATAAACTTTTTGATATTTGCTAAAATGGTAAGGAATTTAAGCCCTAGAACCGATTAATGTATTGGCGGACTAATACTACAGCTGGTGGACCGCCAAGTGCAAGCCAAAACTTTTTGAGATCGGCTCGTAAGAAACTCGTTAACCGAGGGGTTGCTCGATAACTGAAGTTAAGAATCTTATGGGAGGTAACTTGTTAACCGAAATCTCGTTAACCGAGGGACCACTGTATACAGTATTCCCATTTTCTCCATAGGAAGAATTAATTTACAATGTGTAGTACAGGTAGTTCTGCTATAACGCGATAATTGTGTTCTTGTAAAATTTCGTGTTATAGAAAATCGCGTAATAGAAATAACAGGGCTTATGGAGAAAATAGGGTTAGGTGCAGATTACTACTCGAAATCGAAAAAATTTAGTAGTTAGCCTAACACAAAGGATAGCACAGTCTAAATAAATGTTACATTCATATCTAATAATGAAATCATACAGTAAATGTAACACTTTACCTTGAAAAAATATAAATGTAACTTGATGGGGGAGGATTTTGAATAAAATTTCTCTTCAAGTGTTATATCCAGGGCTGTGGAGTCGGAGTCGGTAGTCGAATTGTTTAGAGACTCCGACTCCGACTGAAGCTATTCTGTTCCTAAGAACAAATATATGAACTCAGGCATATTCATTGCAGTGATTCCACTGATCCCACTAATTTTCTTAAATTATTAAAAGAATTTATTTCCATTTTATAAGCATTATTATGAATTTATTGTAGCAGGCACAGTATAGCACTATAATTTTGGACGATAGTCTCTTCTTTACCATTTGAAATTTTGAATTATATCAAATTTTGTTTCGTTGAAAACTGCACAGAGGCTCTCAGCTACAAAACAATTAGCTACAACCTGTTTTTGGTGAGATTAAGGCAAATTTAATTTAATAACTTAATCATGTAAGATTTATCCATTTTCCTTAATAAGGTATTCATTTTTTTAATGTACATAAATATATAACTTTACTTTAAAAGGAATTGTAGGATCATCATTTAGATCCACATCAGATTATGAGCTTAAACAAAATTCATATGCTGAGATCGAACTTTTAGATATACATGTAAATGGGGTTTTCTAGTTAATATCTTGAATTCTTAATAAATTTATTTTTCTTTTGATTGAAACTTTGAAAGTCAAGCCTATCATCTTTTTGTAGTTCTTAAATATCGTCCAGATCATTAATAAAGCTGTAGCAGTATAGCCACGGTGTTTTACTTTTTACCTATGCAGGTTACAACATACAAATTACAATTAGGATGGTAGAAATAGTTGTTACAAATAGGCCAAGGAGTCGGAGTCGGAAGCATAAAAATTTGAGGAGTCGGAGTCGGAGTCGAAGGTTTTGTCTTCGACTCCACAGCCCTGGTTATATCCTTTCTTTTACGATTATCACCGGGAATTCTATCACCAGAACGCTTCTTGGAGATGATGTTCTTTACCATATTCACAGTTAATACCACAAAATTGGAGAAATAGTAAGCAAAAATCGCGTTATAGCAAACAAGCGTTCGCGTTATACAAATATCGTTCCTAATTCAAAAATCGCGTTAGAGCAAATTTGCGTTATCAAAACACGCGTTATAGCAGAACTCAATGTACAGTCATGCGCCGGTTAACGTCCTAGATATGTTCTTGGAAACGTGACGTTAACCGAAATGGACGTTGTCCGCTCATCACATAAACTTTGTATTTATACTTATGTGTATGTGGAATACTATATACGAACATATACACTTTTACTCTTAAATCACTACTGTGGTGTGATACAGGTGATTAACTTTTATTTCTTGTGCAAAATACGTGACGTTTATATTAAAATTATTCACTGTTTTACAAGGATTCCAGCAACGCTGGGCAAATGGGGGAGAGGGAGCGAGGGGGCGTGGGGGGAGGGGAGCGGTTTGACAGTTGGCATAGGCCCAGGTCTAACGCGTGTTTATTTATCAGTTCTTAAGTGACTAAGCTTCTCTCCTATAAAAAGCCAGTGAAATGACCTGGGTGAATAAAATTTACATTGCTGGGATTCTTGTAAGATGTTGATTTATTTAAATTTAAACAACCTGTAATTCACACTAGACATAACAAATTAGTAAATGTGCACTCCAGCTTTGCACTAAAGTCATTTACAGTATTTCTTTTACGTTTCTTTTAGTATGGTGTGTGCATGTAAATGGATGAAAATAAATGAAGAAATTTATGTAAATCTACCCAAAAATACAGTTGAAAAACTTTATATTATAAAATGTACTACAGTACTGTTCACTCATGTACTACAATTTTTATCTCGAGCAAAATATATGGCGTTTATATTTAAATTAATCTCTGTCTTGCAAGGATTTCAGCAATGCAAATTATATTATCCTAACTTTAGTCTGAGATATTATATAAAATAAACACCTTAAAGCATAAAGTTATCACCAATCTTTTGTCTGGGAACACAAGGAGGGAGGTAGCCAGCGAGTGTGGGAAGAGGAGGGGGGCCGGAGGTGAGGTGACAGAGTGTCTGGTGTTTGTTTATTTATTTGAGGTAAGATTTGACAGTTGGCACTGATGGCCTGTCTGCCTGATTATTTATCATTACTTAAGGGTGACTAAGCTCTTCTCATAATTTGCCACCCAAAAGACCTGGGTGAATATAACGTACATTGCTAGGATTCATGTAAGATAGTGATTTATTTGAATACCTGTATAAACAATCTATATTTGCAATAGACATAACAATTTTAGCACATGTACAATACAGGTTTGCACTTAGGTCCATTGTTAACCGAGGGACCACTGTATTGCAGTGTACTTGTACTGTACAATACAGTGAGTTCTGCTATAACGCGTGTTTTGATAACACGAATTTGCTCTAACGCGATTTATGAATTAGGAACGATATTTGTATAACGCGAACGCTTGTTTGCTATAACGCGATTTTTGCTTACTATTTCTCCAATTTTATGGTACAGTGGGGTATGCTATAACGAATCTAATTGGTTCTAGAACCTTGTTCGTTATAGCATTCGTTCGCTATAGGATTAATCCATTCCAGGCCCCCAAATACAACCACTTAACACTGAAAAATATAATATAAAATTGTAAAAATTGTAAAAAAGTGCATAAATATGCATCTAAACCCCTGAAATAAAGAATATCATTAATATTTGTAATAAAAAAACAATAAATTAGAAAAAAAAAAAAATTAAATAATGTTCGTTGTAGGAGTTTCGTTCGTTATAGCATACCCCACTGTATTAACTGTGAATATAGTAAAGAATATCAACGAGAAGCGTTCTGGTGATAGAATTCCCGGTGATGATCGTAAAAGAAAGGATATAACACTTGAAGAGAAGCTCGATTTTATCAACCTCAAAATCACCCTTCTCCCCCATCAACTAAAGTGTTACATTTACTGTATGATTTCATTATTAGATATGAATGTAACATTTATTTAGACTGTGCTATCCTTTGTATTAGGCTAACTACTAATTTTTTTCGATTTCGAGTAATCTGCACCTAACCCTATTTTCTCCATAAGCCCTGTTATTTCTATTACGCGATTTTCTATAACACGATATTTTACAAGAACACAATTATCGTGTTATAGGAGAACTACCTGTATTGACTAAATTCACTAGATAACGCACACAACTAATGGTTGGTAAAACTTGTCAAGTAAGTGAGTGTCAATTCTGTCAGTGTAAGGGGCATGTGTGAGTGCTTGTGTCCCCCATCATAGGAGTCCGTTTTCTCTCTTAATCTTAGAGTGCACCAGAGACTTCGTTATTCCTTAGTAATGACACAGAATTTGAAATTGCAACCCCAATTGCAACTGGGATTGCGATTGTTGAGGCAACTAGATATGTCTGAATACAGCAAATGTGTTATTGTCAATTTGTAGGTGAAAGATTTTATCCTCAATAGATGTAGTTTAACATTACACCTGGAGGCAAATGCTTAAAAAAAAGCCTAAGGAAAGAAGCATATTCCTTTAACACATAATATCTGGCCAGTATGGGGAGGATCATCGTGTCTCCGTCAGGGGGTCGTGGAGTGGTGGTCCAGCAGGCGTCACGGAAGTTTTTTGGGAGGGACGGGCACAGACGTAAATGCGATCGGACGTTGTTCGGTTGGATGTTACCCGGCGCATGACTGTATTTACAGTCCACATGACCTGTAGGAGTATAAACCCACACACTGGTTGCCACATGACCTGTAGGAGTATAAACCCACACACTGGTTGCCACATGACCTGTAGGAGTATAAACCCACACACTGGTTGCCACATGACCTGGAGGAGTATAAACCCACACACTGGTTGCCACATGACCTGTAGGAGTATAAACCCACACACTGGTTGCCACATGACCTGTAGGAGTATAAACCCACACACTGGTTGCCACATGACCTGTAGGAGTATGAACCCACACACTGGTTGTCACATGACCTGTAGGAGTATAAACCCACACACTGGTTGCCACATGACCTGTTTGTGATATTTTAAACTTTTTTTAGTTTTATTTGTCATGTATTATATTGGATTTCTACATTTATTTAAGAAATCTATTCAAGTGATAAGATTGATATTGTTTATTAGTCATAATAAAGTAAGATATTTAACAGAGGTGAGTCAGCAACTGTGGTCAGCAGAGGAGTCAAGGGCACTACTACAAGTGTATCCTGATGTGCTGGAGTCCCACGTCAGTCAAAATTTGAGCCACCAGACCAGTGATCTCTGGCTTCAGGTTGCCAAGGCTTATGCTGCTACAGGATTCCCAAAGAGAGATGTTCCCGAGGTATGTTATGTGAAGAATTAACCTTAACAAGAGAGCAGTGCATGGCTTAATAGGTTTAAGAAATAATATTCAAGCTAGAATTTAAATGTAGGAAAAATAGAAATTTAAAAAGACTGAAAACTAAACATGGAAGGTATTAACATAATGCTTATTGATGACAAATATTATTTAACAAAATGTTTACAGTAACAAAGAAAATTATGATAATAATAATAATCCAAGAGTGGTATAGCTGACAGCTCTGAGACAACAGTTAATAACCTCTCTCATCATCATCACTAAATAACCTCTCTCTCATCATCATCACTAAATAACCTCTCTCTCATCACCACTACATAACCTCTCTCTCATCATCACTAAATAACCTCTCTCTCATCACCACTACATAACCTCTCTCTCATCATCACTAAATAACCTCTCTCTCATCACCACTACATAACCTCTCTCTCATCACCACTACATAACATTTTGCAGTACACCCGTAAAAGTTCATTATTTGAACTAAAGGACAGAAGGAGGTTGAAAATACCTACCAAATATTTTGAAATAGAAGATGTATTACCTACTATTAGTATAAATTTGAAATATATTACTCAATAGTGTAAGGGGGGCACTTTTCCTCTTTATACTATTTCATATTATATTTATTCTTTTTTGTTATTATTCTTCAATATATTTATATACTTACAGTATATTCTTGCTTATATTTTCTAAGTCACCAATTTGTAAGAATCCTGTTTTCCTCTTTATTATATTCTGTTCTAGTTATATCCTAAACCATGGATTAGTCATGCATACACAAGTCTGGGAAACCATTTCATTATTATTATAACACTTACTATACTTACAACAGTAGCCTGCCACCACCCAGACTTTTATTAGAATATAACATATCTTAGTGAACTTATAGGCACCTGAGTTACAATAGTTATTTTCTGAGAACCAATGGGTAGAAGGAATAGAGCGGTGATACTCGTTGTTTACTTATTAAATATTTATTAACATAAGGCGTGAACAAGATGTTAATCAAATACCCTCAGACCAGACTGGACCACTTAGGTCTTACTTTACCATTCATAAAATAGATCTTCAATTACTTATTACATCATTAAACAATCATTATATTATTTCATTGTCACTACAGATGGTTCTCTGACACACTTGACAATATCCCAAATTAACTTATTATTTATTATATCATGTCAGTTCGGAATGAAGAACATGGCACTTTTCCCTCAATTGATATACTCAACTCACACAATATATTTACTGATACTATCAATATTTATGGGTTCACTACTCAACATGGGATAACCATACTTCTGCTAAATATCCCCAATCATATACTGCACAACAATAATACTTTGGTCCATATAACTGTAAGGAGTGCCCCAGGGTGTCACGCTGGTTTCACCACAACAAACGAAAGAACGCTGTGAGGGTCTGTTGTAGTTCGATACACTGCGAGGGTGTTGGGGCCTAGTTCCCAGGATGCGGACTCGCACAGTTTAATCCTGCCAAATTAACGGCATCTTCCAATACAGACAGCTGGCATGCAGCTATCGGTCCCCCGGTGACTGTCGGGTATTCAGCTATCACACGCACTATGCCTGAGATAATGATGGAGAAGCGTCAGAGAAGTGAATAATAACTCAATCATAAACATGATGCAGTACAGTATAGGGATAATTTCATGTTTACAGCCAGCACACTTATCCCAATGTATTCCACTCAAATCTGATCACAGAATAGGATTTCAGAATTTAAATCTTGTTTATTACTGGGGGAACAGAAGAGGGACTTAGAGATCCTTCCCACCTTCCTTGGCAGGGATCTTGTTCAGCAGAAATGTGTGAGAGTTAAAGTGTGAAAATCTTTTTATATATAATACTGTACTGTAGGTGTCCAAGACCAGTGAACTGGCTCCAGGGTTCATATCGTACTTGGTACAGCACTATACAGTACACTGTTTGTCTTAGGAAGCAACAGCTGAATGAAGGTTAAATCTTTACTAAATATGGTTCAGTAAGTGAGCTGCAGTTGACAGTGAACCAACAGGAGGGTGCATCCTGGTGATAGAACATCTTAGCAGTGACAGTGAACCAACAGGAGGGTGCATCCTGCGGATAGAACATCTTAGCATTGCAGTGATCTATCATTTGTTTCTTCCCCACAATCATGAAAAAAGCTTTTTATTAAAGTGTTAATATAAAATGGTATTGGAATAAGTTCACAAGCATTTGGTGTGGAAAGACAGCTTTTAGAATTGGTCATTATATCTATTAATTATATTGATTTGATGATGATAGTACTGTACTGTACTGTACTGTACTGTACTGTACTGTACTGTACTGTATATATGACTTGGAGGGAAAGGTACTGTGTTACATGAACACTGTACTGTACCAACATCCTGAGTATTATAGTGTTCCAAGAACACTGTATTGTACCAACATCCTGAGTATTATAGTGTTACATGAACACTACTGTACCAACACCCTGAGTATTATAGTGTTACATGAACACTACTGTACCAACATCCTGAGTATTATAGTGTTACATGAACACTACTGCACCAACATCCTGAGTATTATAGTGTTACATGAACACTACTGTACCAACATCCTGAGTATTATAGTGTTACATGAACACTACTGTACCAACATCCTGAGTATTATAGTGTTACATGAACACTACTGTACCAACATCCTGAGTATTATAGTGTTACATGAACACTACTGTACCAACATCCTGAGTATTATAGTGTTACATGAACACTACTGTACCAACACCCTGAGTATTATAGTGTTACATGAACACTACTGTACCAACATCCTGAGTATTATAGTGTTACATGAACACTACTGTACATACATGAACACTACTGTACCAACATCCTGAGTATTATAGTGTTACACTACTGTACCACATCCTATTATGGTGTTACATGAACACTACCCAACATCCTGAGTATTATAGTGTTACATGAACACTACTGTACCAACATCCTGAGTATTATAGTGTTACATGAACACTACTGTACCAACATCCTGAGTATTAGTGTTACAACACTACTGTACCAACATCCTATGAACACGCCTGTACCAACACTTGATATTATAGTGTTACATGAACACTACTGTACCAACACCCTGAGTATTATAGTGTTATGAACATGTACCAACATCCTGACTGTACCAACATCTACTGAGTACCAACATCCTGAGTATTATAGTGTTACATGAACACTACTGTACCAACATCCTGAGTATTATAGTGTTACATACCACAGTATTATAGTGTTACATAACACTACTGTACCAATTCCTGAGTATTATAGTGTTACATGAACACTACTGTACCAACATCCTGAGTATTATAGTGTTACATGAACACTACTGTACCAACACCCTGAGTATTATAGTGTTACATGAACACTACTGTACCAACACCCTGAGTATTATAGTGTTACATGAACACTGTACTGTACCAACATCCAGAGTATTATAGTGTTACATGAACACTACTGTACCAACATCCTGAGTATTATAGTGTTACATGAACACTGTACTGTACCAACATCCTGGGTATTATAGTGTTACATGAACACTGTACTGTACCAACATCCTGAGTATTATAGTGTTACATGAACACTACTGTACCAACATCCTGAGTGTTATAGTGTTACATGAACACTACTGTACCAACATCCTGAGTATTATAGTGTTACATGAACACTACTGTACCAACGCCCTGAGTATTATAGTGCTACATGAACACTGTACTGTACCAACATCCTGAGTATTATAGTGTTACATGAACACTACTGTACCAACATCCTGAGTATTATAGTGTTACATGAACACTACTGTACCAACATCCTGAGTATTATAGTGTTACATGAACACTACTGTACCAACATCCTGAGTGTTATAGTGTTACATGAACACTGTACTGTACCAACATCCTGAGTATTATAGTGTTACATGAACACTGTACTGTACCAACACCCTGAGTATTATAGTGTTATATGAACACTGTACTGTACCAACACCCTGAGTATTATAGTGTTAAATGAACACTACTGTACCAACATCCTGAGTATTATAGTGTTACATGAACACTACTGTACCAACACCCTGAGTATTATAGTGTTACATGAACACTACTGTACCAACGCCCTGAGTATTATAGTGTTACATGAACACTGTACTGTACCAACACCCTGAGTATTATAGTGTTACATGAACACTACTGTACCAACACCCTGAGTATTATAGTGTTACATGAACACTACTGTACCAACATCCTGAGTATCATAGTGTTACATGAACACTGTACTGTACCAACATCCTGGGTATTATTGTGTTACATGAACACTGTACTGTGCCAACATCCTGAGTATTATAGTGTTACATGAACACTACTGTACCAACATCTGAGTATTATAGTGTTACATGAACACTGTACTGTACCAACATCCTGAGTATTATAGTGTTACATGAACACTACTGTACCAACGCCCTGAGTATTATAGTGTTACATGAACACTGTACTGTGCCAACATCCTGAGTATTATAGTGTTAAATGAGCACTACTGTACCAACACCCTGAGTATTATAGTGTTACATGAACACTACTGTACCAACATCCTGAGTATTATAGTGTTACATGAACACTGTACTGTACCAACATCCTGCGTATTATAGGGTTACATGAACA